GTTTTGTATACGTTTAAATGTTTATTATATTTGCAATATCTTAATTCTATATGATGCAGTTGGAGTAAATATTTCAACGATATGTATTGGAAAGAACTTGTTAAGGTCTATGTCTCTTTTCTGTTTTTAGATATGTGATTTCCAGCGTTTTGGAGGGAATCAGTTGTCTTTTTATATTATTAACACTACTCGTATACGCATGTTTGCCATCCCTTCAAAATCTTCACGGCAAGACGTTGATGTGCCATTGCGCAAGCCTTTTCATGGCTTACCTTTGTCTTTCCCTGATACCTTGGACTACACCGGATATAACGTCGATTCAGGAAAGCCGCTATACGACATCGAAGATATTTTGCACATCAATAGGTATTTTATGGATTACGGAGAAATAGTAGCATGCAGTATAAGAGTTTGTGAAACAATTTCTCTAATTACTTCTTTAAGTTTAAAATTGAGATAAAGAACAAAACGTAGGGGGAAGAAAAAGCTTGGAAACGAGAACGCGTGCACTGCGAACGCTACACGATACGATTTATCTTCATTTTCAGGATTCGCCATGCTCTTCTTCTTCCTGTCAGCTTTTTGCTGGTTGAACGTCATGTGCTTCGATATATGGCGGACATTCGGGTAAGATGATAGTAGCCATTTAAAACTTCCCCCTCAGACGCATTGTTTGAGTTAGCTTTTCTCGTTCTTTCACTTTTTTTTCGGTATAATTCGTTAAATTTTTAATATTAAATTGCATGGAGTTCCAATTATATAGAGCATCTCACCTGAGTTTGACATGAAATCCGTTGATATCATGAACTAACTAATTACTATATGAAATAATTATTACCGTAGTTATTTCATAAATTAACTGAATTAGACGCTTTAACAATAAAAATATACGCATAAAAATATTTAAACAATTAAATCTTTTTACGTGATCAAGAAAATTTGTCCTTTTATATTTCATGAAAATGTTGATTATTATAGAAATGAAAAAAATGGAGTTTTATTACCTCGCTGAGTAATTTAGATATATGTATGTATGTCGAACGCCTCTGTGTATAGTTTTTCATCCAGCAACGTACGAGTTTGTGTTCTTAAGTTGCTATTTTAGCTGGCGATTCATAAATAAGAGGAGAAAATAGATCTACGTGATTAGAGAATAACCACTTGAACGTTCCTTCGGGTTTCGCATCTAGCGCAAAGAAACTATCAAGTTTTTTATATTCTGCACATTTATATTTTCTGAACGGAATATTTACAACTTAATGCTACTAAAAGTATCATAAATATTAATTTATTGATAATAATAAATTAGAATAAAACAATTGCAGTTGATGTAATTTTTATTTAATCCGAATATCGAGTTAGTTTAACAGAAATCATGTTAGTTATTCTTGTTAGTATAGAGAATACTTAAGATTCAAGATAAGTTAATTCATATACGATTCGGTGCAATAGTAACTTGACAATTACATTTCACACCTGTTCCGCCTCTAATGTAAGCCAAGGAAAGAAGTTCCCCGAGATTTTCCTTTTCCCAATATCGGATACATTAATATGGAAATATGGCATCTCAATCCCTCGAATCGTTCACGCATTAATCAATCAAAATGAATAAACATTTGTTTCCGTCTACTTCGCAAATCTAATTATATCGTGCATCACGTCACATTGTGAAACTTTTTCTGGAACTGAGTGGCTCACCACGCGTGTGTCATTTATATTATATTCTTGAATAGAGTTGGAAAATTTCAACAGTTCTTTTTAAATATACGGGCACATTAAAGACGGAAGAATGTTGTTTATTTGTCTGACATATTTTTAGAATGTCTGATAACTGTTTCGCAGCATCTCGGCGAAAAAATTTTTAAAGGATACTTTATAAAAATAGATATGAGTGAATAGAAAAAATAAAAAGAAGCTAACATTAAAATTATTGCAAATTGAGAAGTTTTGAAAGATATGAGTCATAAAAATAATATTGTCAGTAGTAAAAAAATTGTTGTTTTAATATACATGTATCTGTGTATCATATTAACAGTCTATGACGAAATGATAAGTGCAAACGTAACAGGAAAATACAAAAGCAGTGAATCATTCTATGTAAATTATACTATTATGCGTTTTGTGTTATATTTATAATATACCTTGTCTAACTTTTTTTGTTTAATTCTTTTTATTATGTGTTTTCTTTGAGATCATATATAAATTGTTTTAAGATGTTCCGCCATCAGATCTTTCTATGTTACGTAAACGACTAGATATCGTAATCAGTAACTACAGACAATAAAATATAGTGAAGGATGTTGCATAATGTATGTAGAATTACGATTGTAGAATTGTCTATATTTAATTATTTAATGACAATTATATCATGATCACAATGTGTAGATGGGAAATTCTTATTATACATTAAACAATCTTTCAACATTTCTACTCTTATTGTAATATAAAATAAAGTAGCAGCAGATATAGTAATAAAGTAGAAAGTAAAGCGCAAACACTTTAAACTGCTCTATTCAATTTACGTTTTCATACAAAACGAACGAAATCTCTTTTCCCAGGAGCTTACACGGTAGCATCTCCAGGAGCCAAAATCACAACAAGAGATTCCTGTTGTACTGCCTGTACGCATGGGGCCTGTCCATGTCTATCACAATTCTGGCCATAATAACCGACAAGACGGATTACCTGCCGACGTCGATGCGGCCCAATATTGGCACGAAAAACTGCTGGTTCGACTGTAAGTTGTCAAGTAGAAAAAATAAGTCGGACGGTCAACGTGATAAATCGCGGATTCACAATGAACTATACCTATCGTCTGTTTGATCGGAAAATCAGAAAGAGAAAAAATCAGAATCTTTTACGCAGTTCAACAGCTTGATTTGCGCTCCGATTCGCTTTAAACTTCAGACAAACTCAACGATTTTGTAAACATTCTTCTTCTCATGAAGTCTAAGATTTCTAAGAAATTTTTAATCTATATTACTCAAAAAATTATGCGGAAAATTGCCCAAGTTTTTAAAACGATTACTTACCGACAAATCATCGTAGGACGATACATTTCAAGGGAATAGTAAATATAAAGTCGTGACATAAAGACAGTTAAGAATTCTTTTCTAATAGTGTCAATAGTTCTTTCTCATTTCTTGTTATCTGAGCCTAGAGAAAATCTTTAATTAACATAGATTAAAGAATTCTGAGACCGCTAAAATTTGTATTCTATCGGAGACTGTCTGTCTATGATAACACATAAGCATAGAAAATCAGGTTCTTATGTTGGTTAGCGAGTAAATTTGTACGCGCCAAGAGGTGAAGCGAGGGTACAAGAAGGCATAGTGATATAACAGATAGCGAACAAGCTCCCCCATTCAGGGCACTGGAGAATATTCACTGACTATTTAAAATATTGCATATTGCGAAAACTTTCAAATACTCCAAATAATTTTCAAACATCGATATATTAAATTTATAGGTATATAAGATGTTTTAAAAATTGACTTCGAACCAAATATTGCAATACTACAAATTTAAGAGTATAGCTCTTTATTTCACTGCTCTGTCCTTTAGATTTATTGTTTTCCTAACATGGAAATTTTGTCCTTCATTGTGTGAATCGAGGTAGTAAATTTAAAATCTTTGAACACCGTTTTGATTAAAATTTTAGTGTAGTTGAATTAGCACTCTTCGTGCTTATCTTTATTTGCGTATTTATTCAATGTAACCTCCGCTCTTTCCTGAAAGTTGACTTCACAATATTCATTGTGTACGTACCGTGTTGAATTCTGTCGAGGATGAGTTGTCCAGGTTTGCTTGCCTTGTCGTTCAACCACTATACGTACACACGATGTTTGTCCTTGCTTGATTGGTACGGCTATCCTTGTCGTAAAGATTGACCTCAATCCTGATTAAGGTCCTTCCACTTCATGAACTAGGACATCAATTAGTACAACATAGACTATTTCCTTCCGAACTGTGAATGAACTTTTGCACTCTACAGAATACAATAATCTATATTACAGAATTATCATTTTTTGCAAAGTGCTTAATTTTGGATCTTAACTAAAAATTAATCGCGTGGAGAAAGAAGTGATGCATGCGACGGAAAGCGCGACTTTTTCCCTAGAAAATCAGATTTTTTCCACCGTTCCCACGGGTGTGCTTAAATTTCCGGAATTAAAGCGATATAATACGGCGGGTCTCGCTAAAAGAACAACGCGCGAGCTCCAGCTGGGTTTCACCCCTCCCTCCCTTTCGGCATGAATCGTGGTCGTAGATTCCGCGCTCTTTTAAAATCAAATATTGAATTAACGTGAAATACTTCCGTCGGATTTTCACTACTAACTGAATTTTTATCAGGAGAAATGTGTAGACAAAAATAAAGCTAAAATTAAGCTGGAAGATCAGCAGTTCATTATGAATGGAAAATCAAGGTTTCAATTTAAAAAAGTCCTCGTCGTTGAAAATGTCAGTTAACTTAGAAATGTATTAATATTGCAGATTGGCAAAGCAACTACAGCGAACTAATTTTCTTCAGAGGGCCGATCGCGATTCAATTGACGTTGAACGTGATCTTTTTCATTTTGACCGCTGAAAAGTGTAGCAAAGTGAAAGCCGAGATAAGTAGAGTCGTCGATCCACAGGATCCACGGAGTAAACGATTTCACTCCGCTAAAATTAGGTGAGTTTATTGATCCACCATCAATGTACGGGAGCTAAGAAAAATTCAATAGATGTCTAATTATAACTTCTTATCTCTTCAATTTCTTATTTTATTATCAAAATGTTAATGAGACATTTAATTCATTTTACTTCTCGCTTTAGAATTTTACTTTCATCAAAAGCAAAAATAAGCTTCGTGAGCAGATAGATGTGTGTTAATGAAAGATTAATAAGACATATGTATATTTCTTTCCATTTAAGTGTGAAGAACACAAAGAAGACCGTAGGAATTTATTTTATTTTAATATAAAAATTGTATTATTGATTCAGGTTCATCATGAACATGAAGCTGTTCGTTGTTATGGGTATATCCTGGATCGCAGAGATGCTCCCTTTGTTCATTCAGAAATATTCCAATTTTTATAAGGAAGAAATATTTTATGCGGCAGACATATTGAACAGTCTTCAAGGATTGTTAATATTTATTTTATTCGTGATGAAACGTCGCGTTTATCAGGCTTTAAAAAAACGACTAGGTCTTGAGTCGAGGAAATCCACCTCGAGTCAAGGTACGTCGATGCTGCAAGATCCCTTCAAAATGAGAAAAAGCGCGAGCAACAGCACGTTAACGTCTAGTGTGAATGTTAGCGGAGCGCCTTAACCAAAGAACACTAAATTATAATTGTGATTCTCAATTATGGATATTGTAACGATGATTTTTTACATACTCAAGCATTTTAATGTGAATATCTTTTTATACTATTTGGTTTATACTATTAGTTATATCCTGTTTTTATACATATATGATTCATTCACTTTACTCGTAATATTATTGTTTGCTGTTTCATCATTGTATAGCATTACTGTCTGTCGTGTTTATTTGCGACGATGCTAATGTAAAGTTTCCTATAATAAACGTACATAAAAATGTAATAATCGCAATTAAGAAATGCATGTAACTTTGTTATCAGTATACAACTTGCGCAGGATATATTATCATTATCGATTTCTCTCGTTCTTGCAATTGGAATGAATTTATTTTATACAATTATGACAATTAATTTACTGTCAAATGTGCTCTCTAATTTTGCCACATCGAGAGTAAGAGATGGAAAAATCAAAGGCCTGACAAATATGACTTACATAAATATTTTTTCTGCCTTATCTTTACGACCGTAAATTAAATTCAAGTTCCTGGTGTCCAATTTATCCACAGCTTTTCAATTCTGCGTAAATAAGTTATCTGTTCGGAGTTTTAATCCCGTTCTGAATTATTTTATCTCGAATGGAAATCATGTCACCAATTATTCATATTTTGTGATAAAAAAGAGAAGTAAAGTAGAAGCATGTAAATATCCAAACGATTTTCACTGTCCACTTTGTTAGTAGTAAAAGGCGTTAAACAATTCGCAGCACCATTTAAGCAACCACGGTTCTGTGTTTCGCTGGCTATTAGCGACGGGAAATTCGGTTGAACATTTCAGAGTAGAGCAGGTGTTGGCCGGAAAGTACGGTAAAAAAGGACGAGCAAAGAAGAAAACGATACTTTTTGCCATTTGCCATCTCTTCTATTCTTGGTCGCACGATTCTTTAAAAATTACGTGCTCGATTACTTTCTCTCCCTTCCTTGGGTTTTATCTCTGCCTAGTAGATTTATAACCGTCCAATCTTTTGCATTAAAAATATCAAGCGAACGATGAAGAATATAAGGGATTTTGTGTCATTGGCTTTTTATATTAATGTATCTTCCTAAATGATCTTTTTAAATTATGTTGAAATTGTTTAAACTTCACGAGAGAACAAACCTTTTTCGCGCAGCTTGCCTTCATTATTCATACCACGCCTTTTGTAGCAATTGGTAAATGGATATGTATAGTGTCAAGCAAGAACCGTACAAAGGGACTTTCTTCAAAAAATTACTGGAATTTCTAAGGAACTGGCAGGGGATATTATATGGAAATGGAGATAGTATTTTTCATGCTCCACATTTCGTTTTCTTCATTACTGACATGGGGCGGTAAGAAAGTTTTAAGAATCAGTGTGGGCAATTTATAGATAGACAAAGAGGGAGAGAACGAGAGCGGTACGATCTTTTAACTTTCATACACAAAAGCGATATACCTCGCCCGGAAAAATACTCGCAGTTTTTAAACCGATCCTAAATCACGGGGACGCACGATAAACGGCTCCTTTTTTTCGAAACCTTTATATCCGTATCAACGTCGTGCCGCGGAAACGATCGCGTCGATTATTTTCATGGCGAAGGAAAATAATCGCGGTATGCGACGATACTTGACATTTTGAAAACCCTGGAAATATTACTGAGAATCGCCGGATTTCACCGAATCCTACCAGCTACCGCGAGTTTTTGCGTAAACATACATATGTATTCATACGCGTACATGACCAACAGGTTTCCGATTTGACGTTAGAACGTTAGAACTAATTATTCCAAACCACTTCTGTCCATGTTAATAACAAGTAAATATGTATATCTGTAAATATGCTACTTAATTAATTTTAATTATTTTGAATTAAGTCAAATTATTTGCGAATAAAAAGAGATTATAAGAGATGAAAGAGAACTCTTGCCAACATTTTATATGATCATATATAAATACTGTACATAATCGTTTATTTGTATACAAGATATCTCACTTGATTTTCATATTTCGTTCACGTTATTATTATGACACGTAGCAAACAACTTTTGGATTGATCTTTGAGTGGCTGAAATATTGCATTTAATCGATGCAGCTTGGCATAGTCGAACAAGGTTCAAACCCTTCGCTGTCGCTTAATTGCCGAGAAGCGAAAATAAATATTGATGCTAGGGGGATCCACCCAGGAATTATTAAACATTAGCCCGACAGTTTAATGCATTATCAATCGATTTTTCTTTAGGCAAATATTGACAGTCTCGACCTAGTCGAGGTGCAATCGCAACCTGGTAATGTTTAACTGATAGCTTCTTGGCGATTGGCCACTCAGATATCGACGGATCCCTATCCGATAAATCGGGGTTAATTAATTGTTTCCCTAAGGACGAAGTTGTTCGAGAACCGGAAAAAAAAACGTGAGAAAAATGCTTACTACGCGAACGATTCGACAAATGAGATGTAAACGTGATGACTAAGCGAGAGTTATCGCGTGTTATAAAACAATAAATTTTAACACTGTTGTAGATCGTTTTAAATGAAATATTGGATGCTCACTATTGTCTACATATATTTGATTTGCTACTAAATGCCGTACAATAGAAATATAGCTTCTTGAATACGATACAGATAAATGTTATCCTCTGTCATTTCTTCCTGTCATCGAGAAGAAATAGCTAATTTACGTTGGATTTGCCTTGCGTATACTTATAGTTTTTTATAACGATATATAAAGTTAAAATTTCTGTACTGGTTGTATATTGTATTGTATATGTATGAGGAAAATAAAATGAATGTGTGATAATTATTCGTTCACATTCTGCATGAGAAGCGTGGATTAAGCGTTCCGTTTTTAAAATCGAGGTAGTTTATACGTGGGATCGATTATTCTTGCTATTTTATTACCTTCATTCTTCTGCGTAACCAACGATTTCCGTGCCAGTTTCCGGCTCGAAGATTTGAAAAGCAGATTTCTCCCTCACTAATTTTCCTGCCTCTTTGCGGCTTCCGTTTCCATCGCCGTTTCGATGCACAACCGTGTTGCGTTTTCCCTTTTTTTTGTACTTATAAGTACGTAAAATAAGAACGAAACGAAGACAAAAGTCCAAGTTTCAATAATCCTTCGACGTGCATCTTTTATATTGCATTTTTTCGTTCGGACGAAAACATATTTTTACTAACTCTAACTAAAAGATGGTTCATTCATAAAGCTACGGCTTGCGGTAAAAATGTTCAGATTCTGGATATTTTCTTAAGAAAAGTGGTCTTTTCTAAAGGGGATTAAAGTATGTAATAATCGCTAACTCAGTACATATGTATAATTATATTACTTTTAATACTAACATGATTTAGTGTCTAACTATTAAAATTCTAACTCTCGCGCACAGTCATCCTCACTGATCTGGTAAATTAATGCTCTCAAGCTAATTAATTAATCGATTAATTTACGCGCAAATACAGTTTGCTTCAAGTTTCAACTGATCGATTAATCAATTCGCTGACTCCACTGCCGTCCCTCTCTCTCATCCCAGTATTCAAGGTTAATTATACAGACACAGAATATGTACACCTACATACGCACATTATTGCCCATTCATTGCGTTTCCCTAATACGACGAACAGATTGTTAAAAGATTATCGTCATTATTATTAATATTATTATCATTGTTATTGCAAATAGGCACTTCAAGTGTCACGTGTGCAATACGAAAATTCTTTCTAATGTTTCATATTACAAAGAATTGTTTTTACATCTTAAAAAAATATTCGAAGTTTAGAATTGATTGTCAAAAAGTTTTGTCGATTAATGATTCAACTTACTTAATCGCGACAGTCTTTATTCAATTTTTTATACTCGTTTCAAATACTGTAATCATAACTAATACATTCAATATACAATCCCACCATAGATCATTGGACATTTAAAATTTATATTATAGTTACGGAAATAAAATGATAACGTGTGTAAGAATACATTAACAATATCGTATATATGAATAATTAGCAATAACTGTCTAAAAATTTGTTTAAACAAGCACTTGAAAAATAATAAGTGTCCAATAACTTATGGACGGCAGTATATTTATAACTGGCCTACAACTAGTAATATTCGATTAAAATTTTTTTCCCCCTTGTAAATAGTAATTAATTCATGAGATAAAGTCATGAGATTGTGTTGATATTTCATACCATAAGCGTTACAAAGCTGTAGAATTCATGTATTCATTTTATCATGTACGAATGGATAAAACGAGTACGAGAGCAGTCTAGATTTAACTCTTCCCTTTCCAAAAAGGTGCCTCTATTATTTTTGGAAAGAGGACATCATTTTTACTCTCGTTGTTCACTTTGGAACGTATTAATCGTTTGTCAAAAATAATAAAACGCGAAAAAGAACCCAAACTCCGGAATGTTACAAAGCTAGATTTTTATCCAATAATCTTTTAGCATATCAAAAAACTCACGCTATGAAAAACATATTATTTATGGGATCATTCAAAACACCATAACAAATGCTCGAAATTTCTCCACAAATAGGCCAATTTTTCATTACCATATTTAATGCATTCAAACCGCATCAAGACATCTCTCAAACGACATCCTTCGACATCCTCCTTCGATCAGAAAACATACTCACATCATCAGAATGTAACGAAGTTAATATGAGAATTCTTCACACCCTCTCCTTGCCACTGTAAAATGTAGGAGATACTCAAAGGCGATGAGTAAGGTAGGATGTAGAAAATTCGCGCGAGAAATTATCGACGGTGTCGACGCTGCGATAAAATGCGGGCAAGCTATTTAGAAAAACGATCACGTGCCTCAAGGCTTTCTCTCGTTTGCGGTCTCCTCGAGGTCTGGGTCCTCGTTGATGATGGAAATGTCTCGAATCGAAGGTCTCCGAGCCTTCCAACCCTCCGGCGGTGCTACAGGCGCCGTGGTCTTCGTCAGAAGCTTTGGTCCCGACAGCGTGATTATTATGGCGCCGGCCGGTGCGGTGAGCAAAATCGAGAGTACACAAATGGTCACCACAGTCTCGGCGTAGAACACATCTTCAGGGTTGTTCGGGTCCACTTTGTCGAGTGTGGTCGGTCCCAAAGCTGCCTGAACGGTCGCCTTCGCCATCCAGGACAGAGCTATGAATACTTTCTCTTTGAGGTTCAACTTGGAACCAATTCCGACAAGCACGGTAGCGATTATCCGAATCACGATGCCTGCTAACAAGCAGCACAGTCCCATGTAGACCGTTTTCCCTTCGAGCTCGTCGATTCGGATTTGAGCACCCGTCACTGCAAACAGGATTGGTTCGAAGATCATCCAGAATATCTCGAATGCGGTTGTCACTGGATTCTGAAATAAGACGTTCGTAGATTATGATCAACATGCTATAACGTTTAGGCAATGCGATGATATCCATGATGAACTGTTTTATGTTTACGAGTTATTCGTTCTGACACAATTTAGACGACATTCGGGAAGATGTTCTCACGACTTTATACTGAACTGAAAATTTGATCACTCGAAAGCATTCGAGGTACGATGCAAGCGGGAAAACCTTTTGACGAAATAATCCGGCTGGATACGTACAGGAAAACGCTAGTTGGCTTCGAGTTCGTCGAGAACTCGTGATTCCCGTTGTTCGAGTTTTCGTTATTCAATTGATGATGCACTTCTGCCATTTGTTTTCAAGCGAACGCGCACTACATGGACAGGGACTAATCCTCTTATGCCATAGTATTGCTACGTAACGGTGACACGGCCTCTAAGCGTTCACCGATCGTGAAAAATGGAAGGAACAAATATTCGTATGGAACGTCGAAAGCTTATACCAATATCCTTTTACAGAATTACGATCCGGCCAATATTTGCGCGTGCCATGCAAACGCGTGGTTTTTTCGATATGTTTCCATTTGATTAAGTTCAGTGCAGCTTGTACAAACAAATGCACTGATAAGAGAACGACTTATTTCATGAATTGATTAAAAATTAGTGTCTGATCAAGAAGTAGTTGCTTAATAGTAATTTTATTAATCAGATCTTGAAAATATCCGCAACGAGATATTTTCGCAAGATACGGCTGAAAAGTGTAGACCGCCGATAATTGAAGTTTCACGTTACAGGGTTTCCTCCGAGAAGTCTCGTGATAAAATAGTTTTCTAATTCGCCATGAATCATGGCTTCTCACTATGCGCATGATACAATTAGCTTGCACAGGTAGGGGCGTCGTTATTCTTCCACACCCCGCCACCAGAGACTGTCAATATCATTAATATTTCGCGTTGGATATTGCGCCATTTAATAATCCCGTCTTAATGGCCTCACTCTTTCGCGTTGTAAATCAACACAATTAATATTACCACGATGAAGGCACCGTCGTCATTATTGTTTCGTCTCTAGTTATTACAACAAGCTATTAATAATTTTCGTCCTAATGGAAGAAATTCATTGCAATAATTCCTTGAATGCAAGAGCTTCATCGTAATACTTTAATGTTTGCCAACACTTACGGATTTTTTACTTCTATAAGGTGTTAGATATATTTGACGCAAAAGTAAGGAGTGTAAGAGATTTTAACCTTGTCCCTACTTTTTTAATTTAAGCCGAATTGGAGGCTGTCAAACACTAATTACCATTATCGAAAAACTTTCAAGGCAATTAGTGTGCACAATGCACTCATTTATGTAAAATAGCAAACAATTCGAGTTGCTATATGTACATGTATACGGGATTATGTACAATACGGCCATCGCGACGTATTATTTCTTGGCGGATCGATCTCGAACAATCATCTATACTAAACACCTTATCGAGGACCGATCCTGATCGCGTGTCCTTAGCGCCGTCGACATACAATTTGTCGCGGTATTTGATTTGCACGCGATTGAATAGAACCATTTGTGCCCGAGGTGTGCATTAATTAACGCGGACCGATCAAATAACTTAATTAGGGGTTGCCAGTTCTTTTCATTACCGCCGAATCGAGCGGAGTTTCTTTTTTCGTTCTCCGTGCTTAACCCGCTTATATTCCCCCCGTACCATGCACTTTCCTTTCTTACTCTTTCTCCCTTTCCTGCTTCGCCTTCTTCTTGTTTTTCTTTTTTCTACCGACTCCTCCCTCCCGTCTTATCACCGTCACTTCCGCGAGCGGCTTTCAATGTGACCTGTAACCAGAGCAACCCTCCGGTATTTCGCATAATTAATGAAATCGATCGTCATTCGAGGAAGGTGAACTTCATTATATAACCTCCAGTACTTAATTACGAACCGCTCCCATTCTACGATGCTGATCGCGTGTCGCTTTACTTCTCCTTCCTCGTTTACCTCACGTTCACTCGTTGAAGCTCGCGTAAGTTCAGTGGTGTAGTTATATTATCGCTGTGAAGTCGCATATTTAACGGATATCTACACACGGAGACGAGAAACGCCTTTCCCTGATTTAACTCTTCCACGAACCGATGCAAATATTGTACACAAGTAGATCATTTTCTAACGACAGCTTGAATTTTCCATTCAGCCAAGTTATTTTTAATGATTTTTAAAATTAGATGCTGTTTTTTTTTGTTTGCACCTGAGTTTGTCACGTAAGCTTCTCATCCAGGTGTAAATTTACTTTATGATAAGTTTTGATATTTTTGACATTTTATATTCTCTATAAATCTAGGAAGAGCCCAAACTTGCACGACGGGTTCAATTAAAGGGAAGGAAGAGGATCTAATTCTCAGCGGACCGGAAACTGTTACGACTGACATCCTTCCTCGACCGCTTCCGGTCACCGTTCCGCAAGCTCGGTCGCGATATTTTTGCTCCGCAAACAGACGGCAGTTTATCTCGCTGCTGTCGAATTCTCTGCTTTTTCTTTGGATATATCTTCTACTAATGTTTGCCTCCAAAGGAGCCGAGCGTTTAACGCCGCGTAGTACAGTTGTTTAGAGAGGCAGAAACCCGAAACGGTTCAAGAGAGATATATTTTGCGCTTATATTTGTCTGTAGATTATTAAGTTTCCCTTGTAAAGGGCCGCTACTCGTGCTGTATGTTCAGATGGAAATCGGAGCAGTTTGACCAGGTCCGGTTTAATAGCTTGTCATTATGAGTTTTGCAAGCAGTTGCCGGGAAGAGTAAGCGAAAATGTTATTTAATATTCAAGATGATGGGAACTCTATACATGATGGATTATTTTGATCTAACAATAAGTGTTATGCAAAGATGGCTATACAGGGCGCGTTACTATTGTTGGTGAAGAATACTAATATCATTCTATATCTCCAGATTGGTGGATATTTGACAAAAAAAATCCGTGCACAGATGTAATGTGCAAATATGTTTCGGATCGATTTCGCTACATTCGCGGATCGTTTTACTTCAAAATGAATTCCCTATTGGAAGTCAAGATATTGCGATTTTTGCAGAAATGTTTTAGCAACCAATACGTTATAGAATGAGTTTTAGAAAAATGATCGAATCTCTGGATTTATTTGACTGATGGATAAAAAGCTCTACTGGGGGCTCATTTTAAAGTTCACGTTTACATTATCTGGATAATGATATCTTCAGGAATCAATGAGGTATTCTCAATTTATGCGCTTAGGAATCATATGTACATACATCTAATTCATTGTATTTTGACTGAAAATAACCACAGACAAATACGCATCTCCGATAGTGACCAACGGCGAGCGATGTGTGTGTGCGGCCAAAGTACAATGAACTGACTGCACACTGCCTGATCGTGTTTCCATAGTTTTGATAGCTTTCGACGATATTGCCAGGAATGACGTTGGGTATTAGATATGCCGGAACAGCTTTCAGCTAATCCTGCGAAGCGATTGAATCCTTGCCTTCATTTCATTAATTTTCACCGTCCTACCTCGCTAATTCATTCATTAAAGTATAAATGTAATCCATTGCATTAATGAACTATCTGCTCGGTTCTCTGAAATTAAATTTCATATGTATTACGTTATCGAAAAACACATATTTTCAATAAAATCGTATCTGGTCTTAGTTGTATGACGTTGTAAAGAAGCAGTTAATCTATTCGTCACTATTCTGAAAGCGAAGATAACGTAAACCATTTAATTCTCTGGTTCTAATCTCACGAGCAATTCATTTCCAATTGGCCTCAACAATCCACTTGCTGATATCGTTAATGCAGTAGATCATGCGAACGCCTTTAAGAGCTCTTTCAAACTTTTATTCTCTTTTTTAAATATAATTACCGTGTACATACACATATAAGGAGATGCATACTTGAGAAGGTCATATCTATACCGATGTATGTGTATGTTGGGCCAGAATCAAAAAGAGTTGGGTGCACGAAAAAAAAATTCTTTATCTCATAAGAATCGTCTTCTGAACTTCGATATCTATTTGGTACTTAAATACACAAATGTGCCGAGATTCACGTATTGCTGCGCGAAAGGGGCAACGCGTTCGCGCAATACGTACATATAATCGAGATTATTGCGTTCCATCGCAGAAAGGATCACGTATCTCATAATATGAGGCGAGATCGCGCAGAATTAAATTAAATAAATCAACGTGCAGTGAGCAACCTGCCGGTTGCGTAATCTGGATTGCAGGTAAACAGCGGCAGTAAATATTGAGAGGCGGCTACGAGTGAATTCCAGCCGGGTTTCGGAACATGCATTCGAAATACATATTTCCATATTTTGATGCGTGCCACCAGAAGCAGTTTCCACCATTCGCGAACGAGTCATTGCTCTCACGTCGCATTGGTATCAACGAGGCGCGAGTGACGTTCGAAAATTTTGATCGGTTACACTTTTAACTGGCATACGTATATGTATACTTACTATTGTAAAATATCCGCCTGCATAATGAAGTGGAAACGGTCTTTCTATCTACATATGTCAAGTTGGCACCAGACTTTTAATCACAGTCATAAGAGAATAGATCAATGTACTTTGTTGACTCCGTAACAGATAGAGAAATCATATTTTGAATCTACCTCTTTTTTACATGCCGATAAAAAAAAGAATAGAAACGTTCCCATTAATTTTCTTTCTCTCAATCGTCTGGCTTCAAGTCTCCCTTGTAGGCGCTCGATCTATTATTATATGCCTATTTTTTTAATAAACGATTTGATCGACTATGCATTCGACTACGTTCGGTTTATACCCCTTTGTATTGTTCTTGATTTAATTTATACCGTAAGGAGGTGGAAGTTACCGGAAATCGAAATTAAATCAGATTGTGAATTTTCTCATTCCTCATCCTTGATAATAAATCCTCAAATGTATTTATAATACAATATGGCATTTATAATAATAAAATTTCTCAATTATTCATGAATGTGAAAAAGTAATTGATAAATTATTCGAATCAACAGCGGAAGGATTATACGTGTATTCAACAGGAACATCTGTTTTGAAGGGAACATATTTCATATCCACCAATCTGATACAGAGTGACAGAAGAGTCACAGAAATGTTTCTAATAATTTTCTCGGTATGACAATCAATTCCTTGATCACGGGGATGAACATTGGCTTAACGGAAATGTAACTTGACATGCATAAACAAGAATAATAGTAGCTTCCCCGATATTGGTCGACGACCGCGATACGCTATTACGTGCCCAGCCGCCGAGCTGAAGGATTTATGGGCAAAGCGCGGAAAATATTAACACCTTCAACGCGGTCACAGTCGGTGACTGGCTTGCGAATCTTTCCTTCAAGTTATGGCAGCCGACGATAAAACGACGGCTTGCTCTTTCAACAGCGTCGAACCGTAGAAGCTGGTTTATTGAAAATAAAACGGAGGTCGTGAAAATTGTTCAAGTTCACCGTCTGCAACGACGATAAATTACAATAGGTAAAGTTTTTAGCCTAATGAGAACAATTATGATAATGAGGTCAGTGTTGACGATCGCTATGATGCGATGCGTGACGCAGCACTGCGTATTTCGATAATTCTTTACGTTATGCCTGTACAACTTTGTACAAAATTAATTCTAACTCAAACTCTATATTAGAGTTTTCTATGCTGAGGTTCATTAGGAATTTTATATTTCTTGAAGTAAATGTCGCGCTTCTTTAATCGACCCTTTGACTTTGGAACGGGACGTTAAAGGGTTAAATTAAAAATTAGCCAGTATGAGTCATGTAATAGTTAATAACAATAACTATGTGGAGATTCCTACAACGTCGAACAAAAAAATCTTTAAAATCATGGGACGACTGAAAAATTAAGGTTTACGGAATGGCTGCAAACTTTAACTTGATGTTTGTGAAATTCAAGTAACGACACCCAACTGGAACGGTTACATCGCCAATTCGCGATCTAACATGTCGTTCTCTCAGGTTATAACCAAGTATTGACGTCGCATTATAATTGACGCTTCCTCGTAATTCGTTTCACGTGATTAACAACCGTTGAAACGGAATTTCAATATATCTTCAGCAAAAAGCAATCAATCGACTAAGCTCGATGATTGATACGAAAAATAAATCAAAAGCGTGTATCGCGCAATGGACGGATATCTATCCGTGTTGGGTAACACCGTGAAAATATTTCCGATTCGCATAAATTTTTCGCGTCGTTTGCGTTAGCATTTGTGGTATTACGCTGCCATTCTAAGTTTAAATCTCTGGCAAATGTGTTTTAAATCATGGAAATGGACGAGCTATTCTTGAAGAAATGTTGGGTAGTTCGAATTGTCCTACAAGCTCGATATTTTCATGTATTTGGTAAACCAAAAAAAGTAACAGATTTCATGCTGGTATACTTACATCGTCAACTTCCCAACCTTCTTTCTGCCAAAAGTAGCAGCTGACGAATGCGGCTGCAACTACTGCCAAAGGACCAGCACCTCCTAGCTCGATCGCTTCACTTCCAAACACAGCTATCAATCCACCTCCTAACAGCATCAGCACTCTCAGCGGTACCATAAAGGGCTGAAACATTATGAATTGTACGATAAATCAAATTTAAGGATGTATAGGCTATACATATACTTAAACAATGCTGGCATGTTGAATTTGTTATTATAGATTCCTATTACT